TACACTTTTAGGCATAAAATATTCATTTAATCTATCTTTTAAGTAATGAAAATTAAACAAATTTTATTTTTTGGATAATAAAGGTAATTTAATATTACACTTAAAACATTGAAGACATATTGTATGATTATTCCTTAAAAATAAGGTTGCAATCATTTTAGTAGTAGCAGCCTATTACGTACATTCTACTGAACAATAGTAATATATTTCTGTCACAATGTCTTCAAGTTAAACCGAACTTTTATTTTGACGGGTTGCCGTGAATACATTTACATTTCTGTGTGTATATGATATGAGGATAGTTTTACTCAAATGAAACGGTCAAATGCTCATGAAGTGACTCTCAAGGCCGTTCTGGAGATGTTGTTCATGTACTGTATTTATGTCCTCATTTAGTGAGAAGGCAGAAGCTAAAAATCACCGCAAGCATCACGCGTGCTTCAGTACAAGTGGTAAACAAAACCGCACGTCTGCCATTCGTTAACACAGAGAGACGAAGAATTCATATTTAAATAGTCGTTTTGCGGCTTAATATTTACAAATACTAGTGGGAGTGGGAGCATGCTCACTTGTGTGTGCGCGCAAAATGACATGCCATCGTGTAAATAAGATAAATAACATAAGGCTATTTAGTTTGTTTAATAAAAGAACAAGGTATAGACGTGTTCTATAGGAAAGGTAACTTATAGGGCCCCCCCCCCTTTAATATGATGGCAGGGGAAACACTGGAATGTCCAAATTAAACATATAAATACAGCTATTAGTGGTGTTTAAAATTAGAGATCTGAACAACAAACCCCTAATTATTTAACTTCAGTACATAAGTCATCCAACAATTTGTGTAGGCAATGGCCTAGAACTATTCAGAATACCCTAGAAACCACAGAGCAATGCACTACAACCACCAAGAACAACCTAGTAAGCGCCTAGTAATGGACAAGTGCCATTTACATTTCTTTCAAATCTAGGAATTTTCTAACCTAGTGTTTCCTGGTCCATGCAGGTGTGGGGGTTCTGGCCATCATTTTTGTGGCGGTGTTCCTGGACAACATCGACGGAGATCTGGCCAAAGAATTTCGTAAAACCAAGGGCAACCAGTCGTTTTGGAGCACCTTTCTGGCTACCTTCAAGCTCTTGAGAAATCCCAAATTGTTGCTTCTCATCCCATTGACCATGTACAGTGGGTTTGAGCAAAGTTTCCTCTCTAGTGAATACACAAAGGTACACCACCATGTCTTAAATGAAGCAGAAAGAAATAGAACCATGAAGGAAATTCTAGGTCTAATTCTAGCCGACAAGTAATCATTTAAAACTATTTTCAAATAATATTTTAAAATATGCATACATGCACATTTATTTGTATGTCGAAAAACAATACGTTTCTTGTCTCGTCGTCATATTCAGTCAGGAATTACATTAATCACGTAAATGATACCATATTTGAGAAAGAAAGTTGAGTAGTTTGCTGTATCACTGTATATTACTGTTGTTAGTTTAACATTTCTATCGCTAATCTTTTAGTACAGATTAAGTGCCAAGTCCTTAAACAAAGCCATTGTTGTTTTTGATTTAAGTTTGTAAGTTTATAAGCAGACCAGACTTAAATTAAAAATATAACTTTTCGTCAGCCTGACAACAAACAGAGCGCTGCGTAATGGAGGGCAGCAGAGCAGTGCAAGAATTTCCAATATAGGCCCTATTATTGGGGGGACTTGTCTCCCCTTGTTGTCTATAGTGGTAACGGCCCTGCCATATGCAGACTGGGAGTACATGAATACTAATTCGCCCTAATGAAATATGAATGTAATGTGTTTGCGACCCTCTTTCACCTGCAGAACTATGTGACGTGTGCGATAGGAATACACTACGTTGGCTTTGCGATGATCTGCTTTGGTGCTTCGAACTCCCTGTGCTCATTCGCATTTGGTAGACTGGCTCAATACACTGGACGAATCGCCCTCTTTTCCTTGGGTAATACAAGAACAGGTTGACATATGGTTTAAAGGTTAAGTATGGCTGCTCAAATTTATCTTCATTCTATCTTACTACACTTTCACAGCTGCAGTGACAAACCTGAGCTGTTTTCTGGGTCTTTTGTACTGGAAGCCTCATCCAGACCAGCTGGGCGTGTTCTTTGTGTTTCCGGCCCTCTGGGGGATGGCAGACGCTGTGTGGCAAACACAAACCAATGGTGAGTGCTTCATACTGCATACCACTTAGTCATCTATACAGTTAAGTTATTATTACAAATATAAAATGGATAGTTTTGGGTGCAAAAGTCTGACAAACAGTCTACAGATAATTACAAACAGCCTAAAGGTACTATTGAATCTGAATGATAATTATCTGTGTTGCCTCACAACACAAAACACATAAATAATAATAATTATGAATAAAATAATATTTATAGAAATGCTTCCATAGATGTTTTAACATGTTAAGATGTTTTATATATATATATATATATATGTATGTATATATATATATATATATATATATATATAAACAGTGTTTTTAATTTATAAATATATTGTATAGTCATTGTACTGTGTGTTTATTTCATTTGCAGCACTTTATGGCATTCTCTTCGCTAAGGACAAAGAAGCAGCATTTGCCAACTACCGCATGTGGGAGTCACTTGGTTTTGTTATAGCCTTTGCTTACAGCACATACATCTGCCTGTCCACCAAAATCTACATTGCTCTGGCTGTTCTTGCCCTTACCATGGTAACTTACCTTTACGTTGAGTACAACGAGTACAAGCACCCAACTCCAGAAGTGACTACTGACGACTTGCAAAAACCAGAAAAGGTTGACCTCAAAGAATTAAATGACAATGATATTATCACTCAGACACGAATGTAAATAGATTTTGCTAGATATTTCTGCCTCAGTATGTACCTCAGTATGTAAAATGTTGATTTTGTTGTTGTTGTTGTCATTCAGAGATTATTTTTAGAGTATGTTTATAAAGTGTTGAGAAAATTGGGTTTTGTTTTTTGATGTAGCATGTAAATGTGTTGATAATTTTCTTTAATATTCTTTATATCTGTATATCTGTACAAAAGCACAAATAATTTCTTTCAGTGTATGCATTAAAATACTTTTTTCTTTTCATGTGTTTATTGTGGTTTCCTCATATTTACAGTAAGTGCAGCAGATTGAATGCGATATGTTAAATGTGAACAGGTTGAGTGTTGAAAGGTGAAGATTTACAAAGTGTTTAGAAGGTCATAGAAAAATATGATCATAAAGTAGGTTTGTATCGTTTTGGGATCGATGTCTATATGTAGCAAATCAGCAGTTTTTCCCAGAAACATGAATTAAATTACACCAGCGACTGTGCCAGTTTCCTATTGCATTCATTGTGCTGAGTCAAAGATCACATGCCAAATCTACCAGACGAAAATCACAGGATGAGATCAAGATAATCAAATAAATACATAAAAAAATAATCATTCCACACAGAATATTACACGAAATGTAAATACTGCCACAAGATTAAAATAATAGAAGTAATAAAAAAGATTCTAATCTTTACAGCCTTTATCAGCAATGTCTTTTACATGCCAAGCATCTTCCTGAGATTCTCATATAGATATTCTGAGTGAGTCATTATGAAGCTTTTTTCTTTTTCATTTGCAGATTACACTCTTCCTGAAGCAATGGCTATTGGGCTATTACTGTTATGTAAGAAATTAACAATGTAACAGTGAATCAAAATAAAGTCACTGAATCTCATTCTGTGGGTTGTAATACAGGCAATAACTCTGGTTAGACATCTCTGAATGATAGCAATAAATATGTGACAAAGACATTCACAGTTTACAAGAAATATGTTTATGACAGCTCTAAAAAAAAAAAAAAAGAAGTTAAAACAGAGTTCTACAACTGAAGAAAACAACATGTGTTTGGATTCTTACCAGACAGTGTGGGCTACAAATATTCTGTTTCCACGACACACAATTATACTTTATATTCCTTCTGCAATTAAGTTATTAAATAACACTAGGTAAGGTTATTTATTTATTGTATTGTTTAAATTGTATGTTTTACTGTGTTATGTATGTATGTATATATATATATATATTATTTATAGTATATATTATTTTTAACTATAATAATCAACACTAATAATTATTATTATTTTTATTTTTATTTTAAGTTTAATAAAATTAATTTTTGTTATATTTTCTAGTAATACTTTACACAGTTTTGCTAAATATGAATACAGTGTGTCATCTAGCCTGTTCAGTGTGGATGAGAAACATCTGGCGGTCAGATTCTCACTGATATTTCCTGTGGCTGTTGAAACAAGATGGGGACTTCATCGCTGTGGGGTGCTAATAATATTACAGATCAACGCACTACAGCCTCCATATTCCTTTTCGTTGTGACCAGTAGATGGCAGCATTCTCACTTGATAGTAAACTAGTCCTTGCCAGTCTTAGCTTTATGTAGGTGTATTTTGATCTCCAGTAGGTGGCAGTGTTTTCTTTTTGTCTAGTAATTAAATTAATGTGACACGATGAGGCCTACATGATTCAACTTCCACTTCTAAAATGTGTGAAATATGGTTGAAATATTTCATTTATACGATAACGTCTTCAATATTTAAATTCAACATATTTCAAATCGAATATCTTATAAAACACACTTCTCTTTAGACAATTTTTTCCCCCAGGTATCATTTAGAAAATCCATAACAACCTTGAATAGAGGACAATGGTTATGAAGAACTGTTTATTTTCCCATTTCATCAGTGTAGCTGTAATATATTCAATTTAAATCTACCCGAGACATATTTAGACGGATAAACTATATGCAATATTAATAAATAAATAATTTTTTTTGTAGTAGATTGGCAAATCGCTTTGGTTTGCTTAATGTTTAACCACGTGGTGACGTCACCTGCTCCGCCCGCGCAAGGGAACGCTACACTACTGTTGTCAGCAGCTCAAATTGCGCGCTTTTATTCAAAGGTTTCCTAGCAACGAAAGATGACCAGAGCAGAGGACACAAAAGGAGACACAACCTGTCTGACAGGAACTCTGTGGAGGATCTACCAGGTAACAGAGCTCGGTCAGGTAAGAGGGATTATTGCAAATATTCTCTACAAACGATTTTGAAATCGAAAAAAAAGAAAGAAGTGAAATTGGACCTAAATATTTGACTAGATGCAATAAACTGTGGTAAATTATATGATTTATATGCTGGCAATACAAGGTTGTGCTTTATTTCTTTTTTTAGAAACTGGGTGTAATCAAAAATGTATTGCTTTTGACTCATAAGAGTACTATGACTGTGTTTACATGGACAAGATGTATGTAAACGTATTATCATGACTGCCATAACTAGATTAAGTCAATATTCCAGTTTATAGGAGCCTCTAGGCTAGGAGTTGTCAAACTGGAGGCTGCAAGGAAGTACTAGGGGGTCCATGAAAAAGTTTAGGGGAAAACAATGTGGAAAAATGTACAAATAAAATAGACAATAAAAAAATTATAATAATAAGATTAGGAATAATTCGATTAAAATAAATAAATAGAGTACAGTACTATGAATAGAAAATGCAATAGGAAACTTAATAAAAAAATAAATAGTTCAGACATATTTATAGAGGTATATTTCTGTTTGAAGACATCAAGGACTTGGTCTTCGACTCTTCGGTAATCGTGCAGAGATACATCAGCAACCCGCTTCTCATTTCAGGCTACAAGTTTGATCTACGCATTTATGTCTGCGTAAAAAGCTTCTCCCCTCTTGTGATTTATATGCACCAGGAAGGCCTAGTGCGTTTTGCGACAGAAAAGTACACCCTTGCTTCTTTAGACAGCCCGTACTCTCATTTAACAAATACCAGCATTAATAAGTTTGGAATGTGCTACGCCATGGACAAAGAGCGAGTAGGCCGAGGATGCAAGTGGACCATGAGCAGATTCCGTAGTTTTCTTCACAAACAAGATGTTAATGAACTTCTGCTGTGGCACAGGATCAGCAATATTGTTACGTTGACTCTGCTCACAGCCATTCCTTGCGTTCCCTCCAGCCCCAACTGTCTGGAACTGTTGGGGTTTGATATCCTCATCGACGCCAGCTACAAACCGTGGCTTCTAGAGGTCAACCACAGTCCGGCGCTTTCATTGGACTGCCCTGCTGATGTAACGGTCAAGAAAGGGCTGATCAATGATATCATCGACCTGATGAACTACAGGATGATTGATAGCTTCAGACAGAAGGGATACTGCAGGAAGAGATCGGGTAGCCGGTATTTATGGCCAAAAATCTCTCAAGGGTTTTTGTTGCCCAAGACTTTGCATGCACCTCCATCAGGCAACAAAAACTGGAATCAGTCTGTCTCAGGCTCTTCAAGTTCTCAAGACACTAGAAATAACACCGGTTATGCTACTTGCCCCGTTCACCCCAATTCAAAATCCATTGGACATGAAAAGGATCCTCAGAGGTTTGAGGAAATTAACGACGAGGTGGGATCTGATGACCTAAAACTCACAACATTTAACAGCACGAGGCAATCGCACAGAAATACACCGTCTACCGCGTGCAAGTTACCATCTCTTCACGTACATAAACTCAAGTCTCCAGCCGTCCCATGGAACCGCGTGACTCAGGACAGAGGTGTCCCTCCTTGTCGTGTTGGCGACTTCATACTTACGTTTCCCTTTAATGAGGCTACGTGGAAAGCCTCTCAGGACCAAGCAGATGTTAGGGCTATTGTGAACGAGGTTCATAAACTCACAAACCGACTGGCATCTTCCTTTAATGAAAAAGAGAGGACGAAGATGGAAAGCAGTCAGAGCATTGGTATCAGGGACAAATTTGAGCCTCTGCTTTGGGGGCCAAAAGATCCACCTCTTCTCAGCAAATGCTGCTCCTTAAATTCAGAAGTCAAGTAAAATGGTTTAAGTTGACCCAATTTTTCACAGTTTATAATTTCTTACAACACAACATAACACAAGAGGAGGAAACTGGGAAGAGCACATATAGTATATAGTAATTGCACATAAAATAATGACTTTTTACTAATTTTGTCAGAATTTTCCTTTTGCCTTAAACTTTTGCATCAAACATCTTTGACATGTTAGCAATGATTATTCATGTCAATTAAATGCACATGTGTAAATAAAACGTGTGTATGCATGTATATATATATATATATATATATATATATATATATATATATATATATATATATATATATATATATATATATATATATATATAT